TTTATTAATTAAGAATATTTTTAAATTATAAAAACCGAACGGAATGATGGCTATCTATTCCATTTTCTTAAACGTTTTAAAACAAAATGGAAAATTAAATAATGAAAACTAGTGAAAACTTCTGTTTCTTAATTTATAATTAAATTTAGAACAATTCATTATTTACAATTTTGTTTTTTTACTTCATGTCCATCTAAAAAGTGTTTGTTAAGTTTACGCAAATGTATATTCAGGATAGGCGCATGCCGTAGCGCGATTTTTTCATCAATCGGGTATCATAAGTCAGTTGTCTTGTATCATGTGTCCTATCATGAAAAACAGCCACCCAGAAGAATAAGAACAACAATATGTGCTGAAGTCGACGCTAGTAACTGTATTATGGCTACAAATCCGCGACTGTTACCAAGAGCTACTTTCACCTTCAATACGACCATAACAAGTCAAAACACCGGCTCTCGTACAATCACCGAATTTAAACAACGTCGGGCAGGGTAGAGTGGGTAGGAAACCAAAATGTTTCTTATCTCTTGGGAGATTAAAACAGTCATAAGGGGTCATTCTTCCATTCCCAGCTGGTTTAGAATTTGTCACTCTATATGTGATTTCATTTGCTGTACAAAAAAGTTTATCTTTCTATTGAAGGTGGCTTTGATCGCTGAACAATAGTGTGTTTGAATTTCATAGTGGTGTTGTCATATCCTGCTATGACAACAGGAAACAACTTTGAGTGAAATTAAGAAAAAGAAGGCAGTGGAAATGAAAGTAATATTAATAACTAGCAGTAGAGCCCGGCGTTGCCCGGGGATATAACAGTAAGTGATAGATCAAGTATCGACCATCATAAAGACTGAAAAATAAAATTGACAAAGATTATTGTTTAAGGTTGACGGACACGCATGTCTTAATTAGTTTTTTTTTTTTTTTTTTTGAATTGGTCAAACCCAAACTCAAACAAAAACATTGTTTTCAATCGTTATAAGTCTACTGATTGAATAGAATTTTATTATAAACAATTGTCTTGTAAATGGAATTTTTAAAGCATTCTGAATGTAAAAATAAAGAAAAAAAGTGTGCAAGACAATAAGAAACACTACATGCCAAAAAAAAGTGAAAGTTTTGTTGAAATCGGTTGAAAAATGTAGGTAGCCTTTCTGTAATCTTTTTAGTTTTTACAATTTATGATTTTTACTTATTGAATACAGTAAAAAACATTGCATATTTTGCTTGTGATTCATAATTAAAATTCTGATTTGAATATATTTTCCACTCGTTGTTTCTAATACAAAAAATATTAACTTTATTTGGGTTTATTAATTATGATCTAACAAATCTTATTCATTTAGTAGCCTTCTCTGTAATATATAATAATCTTTTACAATTTATGATTTTTACTTATTGAATACAGTAAAAAAATTGCACACCATGTGTGTTTAAAGTAGTTTCCCGTTCCGGTTATTATTTTTAGTTAGGACTTGTGTATGTTTAGATTTCATTATCTTTCCCTAAAGATAAAGAATTTATTCCGATGTTTGTATTCGTACAATCAGTAGAGATCGTTAGATTATTGTCTAAGGTTGACGGACACGCATGTCTTAATTAGTTTTAGTTTTGTTTTTTTGACGAATTGGTCAAACGCAAACGAAAACATTGTTTTCAATCGTTATGAGTCTACCGATTGAATAGAATTTTATTATAAACAATTGTCTTGTAAATGGAATTTTTAAAGCATTCTGAATGTAAAAATAAAGAAAAAAGTGTGCAAGAGAATAAGAAACATTACCTGACCAAAAAAAAAAAGTGAAGTTTTGTTTTATCGGCTGAAAAATATAGGAAATCCGCTCCCATATTTAAAGGAACCCACACACACAAACAACCCGATGTGAGTTGTCCCCCTTCCATTTTCACGATGTCTCTTAATCGTGTTTTCAAATTGATTTTGTGCAAAAACAATTATATTTTTCCCATTTTTGGTGCTGTTAGAACCACCACAAGGTAATTTTATGTAGTCCTGTGAAGTTTTGATGAAATCGATTGAAAAATGTAGGAAATCCGATCCAATATATAAACGTTACACACACACACACACACAACCTGCGTTTTATAATAAGTAAGATGCAGAGGGCTAAAGGTTACAAAATGATTATTGTATTTCACTACAAGAGCCTACATTACATATAAACAGACTCACGGTGAGGTTCGAAATTACCAATAATAGTCAGTACGCATCAGAGTACACACTGAATTTCTTTGTGGAAAAATTAAAATTTGTGAGTGAAAAACCAACTGGATAAGAGAGTATAGTATCGACATAAAAACAAAACCTCAAGACAAGTTAAGTTTCTCCTTGGATAAAAGCCGGCGTCTTTTGCTGTCTAATTAACAGCTATAGCCCACAGGAATCACTTCTTCAGACTATATCAACGTGATACATCTGACCACAACAGACGACTCTTTGTGCCCGCTCGTACTAATTGTAAACTTTTCCTCGATGAGGCTTAGTCGCTGTTCCCTGATGGAATGAGACACATTATAGCATCTGACAATTGGCTTATCGTAACTACCGGCGACTCTGTAAATAAGAATCAGTTCGTAATCCCTCGTCTCTTCAATCAATTTGTTGTCATCTAATGCCGATAAAGCAGAATGCTTTGCTCGTAAATTATCTTTCACTTCTACTCGTGACTTATCTGCATTGTTCTCGCTATCAACTCTAAATACGGATTTCGCCTCTCTTGGTCACCTGCTGATGTATTAACGATTATTGCTTTAGATAAGAATGGCGAGGCTCAGGTTGTTGCTTAGGATATTTCTGAATGGCATTCTGAACGAGTTTTTGATTTGATTCAATCTTTCCGATCATACCGCGAAATGAGATCTCTCTTGAACAGCCATTCTTTTAGATCTTTTTAGATTAATGCCAGTGTCTTCCAGGACCTACATTTTTCCTAATTTTTATCAACGATCTTCACGGTGTCACTAGTTCTCAACTCGATACTGATGAGACAAAATTTGACACGTATCTTAATGTTAAGATTGATCGGTTTGATGAAATCAAATATTTGAATTTGTGGTCGGAGCGAATATTAAGTCTGAGTCATGGTAACGAGCTGGACATTTCGAAAGGGTACTGTTTAATGCAAACAGACCGCGATTAATTCTCTGGATTTTTTTTAAAATTAAACCGGCACATAGATCTCTTTTTATATTACTTCAGAAGTGGCAAAAAGGAAGATCTCGTGTTAAAAAATTTGAATTAATTGTACTTGGTTTATTTTAGGTTCGAATCTACCCAGAACTTTCTTTGAGTTCAATTTATGGCTTCTGGTTAAACTTTTTAATGCGTACTTTCTTTCCTTATAATCCTGAACACTTAATTGATTTCCCTGTTTTTTTTTTTTTCCATTGTTTAATCTAAATTATTTCAAATCATTAATATGGATTCTTATATAATAAAAAAAGTTGGACCAGAGTTACCACCCAGCTATACAATGACTGACAGGCAATAACTTATCGAAAATATTGTGTAGTATTTATTAACCCGGTTCCAAACTTTAGCGAATTTTACATAAGACAAGAGGAATGGATTAAAATTGACTGCTTCCAGCAAAAAAAAAAAAATAATAATAATAATAATTCACAAGTATAATACCAAAGTTAAGTATTTATTTAATCGAGAATATATAAAAAGGACTAATACAGAAAAAAATACGTAATTAAGTCCACATCTGCCTTTGTAAAAAGATGGCTTTAAGGTTATAACTATGTATTATAGATACATTTCGTATGTAAATTAAACATTGTCATCTGGTTAGCAAGAAGAATATCGTATAACAGAAACAGAATATCAATGTAGCAATTTAGTAATGTTTACGTGAGACCAGGCAAGAAAAAAAGACATTTATCAATTCTTATCAACAGCATTTTTCGAATCATTGTGATGGAAGACATAGTGTTAGAGCCAAGACTTGAAAATAGTCTTGTGTTGATCTCTGATAGAAGAAAAGATATTATTTGTTAAGATTATTTATTCTGTGCAGTCGATTTATACAATGACTTATCGGCAATAATTTTTATTCTTCAATAACCTATGACCATTTATTATGATGTAGTCTAGTCGAATCTTAAGCTTGAAGTGAACTGGAAAATTCAAGTGGGCAGTGTCCGTAGAATATCTACGGTGACTAAATTTGATCATTATAACAACTAATAATAACTATGTCTTATACACGGATTACGTATGTAAATTTAACATTGTCTTCTGGTTAGCAAGAAGAAAATCGTATAACAGAAACATTGTACTGAATATCAAGGTAGCAATTTAGT